TTTATTACTGTCTGTACAGACCCAACTCCTTTGCCCCTCCCCTCATCTCCCTGCACAGTCTTTTGTAGCAGGCAAAGGAGGGAGTGAAGGGGAATATTATAAAGTTTTATCTGATGACAGCTCTGAGTCTGCTGGGGCTTCTGACATCACATCCAAGATGGCGGCACCCAACAGAAGTCTCTGGGCTTTTGGATGTCTACACAAGGGAGGCTTGTACAGGTAAAACCATGCCTGAAATAACACACATATAACTGACCATAATGAATGGTATGGGGACAGGGTCTCTTGGGAGCACAATCTCACATCAACAGGGACGTCTTAGTTAATTAAAGCAGAACTTTGGCCAAGCAGCTAAATACACAGATGAGATACACATGTGGGAGATGTTTTACTTGCCAAGGGACCATCCAGTTATGAGATTTCCACAGCTCTGACTTTTTCTTTTCTGCAATTGAGTAAAACTTACAGGTCTCCTCCCCACCCCCAGCCTGTGACTGGACAGTGAAAGGTGAAGCAGCAGACTCATGAGCTCATCTCTCCGTCACTCTTCTATCTGCTCCTATCAGCATGCTGCTATCACTGATTGGCTTCTTGTGCTACCTCTTCAAATGTGGGCTCTGCTATACAGGACCTCTCCAGAGAGACCACTGCTTCCACACAGTGAACTAGAGTCATTGCTGGCAGCGGACAGGCTTTTCTACTCTGGCAGTGGCTGCTTTATCAAGAAAACAAACTACATGAATTTTGTTTTGATTCACTGGGAATGCATTTAGGTGACTGAAACTGAAAGTTCAATTGCGCTTTAAGAGGAAGGAACCAGGTTCTCCTATTCATCAGCCATTTATGTTTGACATAGCAAGCAATGAATATACACCATCAGCCATAACATTATGACCACCGGCCTAATATTGAGTAGGTCCCCCTTCTCCTGACCCATTGAGGCATGGACTCCATTAGACCTCTGAAGGTGTGCTGTGGTATCTGGCACCAAGCCGTCAGTAGCAGATCCTTTAAGTCCTGTAAGTTATGAGGTGGGGACTCCATGGATCGGACTTGTTTTTCCAGCAGATGACTGACTGATTGAGATCTGGAGAATTTGAAGGCCAAGTCAACAGCTCGAAGTCGTTGTTGTGTTCCTCAAACCATTACTTGTACCATTTTTGCAGTGTGGCAGGGAGCATTATCCTGCTGAAAGAGGCCATTGACATTAGGGAATACCGTTTCCATGAAGGGGAGTACTTGGTCAGCATCAATGTTTAGGTAGGTGGTACGTGTCAATGTAACATCCACATGAATGGCAGGACCCAAGGTTTCCTAGCAGAACATTGCCCAAAGCGTCACACTGCCTCCGCTGGCCATTGTCTTCCCATAGTGCATCCTGGTGCCATCTCTTCTCCAGGTAAACGACTCACATGCACCCGGCCATTCACATGATGTAAAAGAAAACGTGATTCATCAGACCAGGCCACCTCCTTCCATGGCTCCGTGGTCTAGTTCTGATGCTCTTGTGCCCATTGTAGGCACTTTTTGGTGGTGGACATGGGGTCAGCATGGACACCTTGATCAGTCTGCAGCTTCGCAGCTCCATGCACAACAAACTGCGATCCTCTGTGTGTTCAGACACCTTTCTAAAGGAACCAGCATTCACTTTTTCACTAATTCGTTTATTGGATTGGTCTACACAGGCCAGCCTTTGCTCCCCATATGCATCAATGAGCCTTGGCCACCCATAACCCTGTTGCCTGTACCCCAGTTCTCCTTCCTTGGACCACTTTTGGTTGGTCCTGACCACTGCAGATCAGAAACATCCCTCATGAGCTGCATTTTTGGAATTTCCCTGACCCAGTCGTCTAGCCATCACAATTAGGCCCTTGTCAAAGTCCCTCAAATCCTTACACTTGTCCATTTTTTTCTGCTTCCAACACATCATCTTCAGGGACAAAATTTTCACTTCCAGGTGCCATTGTAATGTATTCCCCCCACCCCCCCCCACACACACACTTCTATGTGCCATTGTAATATTTCACTTGTTCTGCCTGTTGAAGGGGATCCTCTGAGACCCTGAAACATTGCATTGAGTGTATCATGCTATGTTGCTCAAGCATCAATAAATAGACGCATTCAATTTACTATTTGGAGTGCCGGTGTCTATATTTCTATTTGTGATTGTGACAGTCGCCATCCTTCGACAGCCGCAGCACCCACTTTAATATTTTGGAACAGCGGTTCAGAGTGCAATGGGTTCATGGACTGTATCCTGTGTGTATTGTAATATATCCCCCCACTTCCAGGTGCCATTGTAATATATCCCCCCACTTCCAGGTGCCATTGTAATATATCCCCCCACTTCCAGGTGCCATTGTAATATATCCCCCCCACTTCCAGGAGCCATTGTAATACATCCCCCCTCTTCCAGGTGCCATTATAACCAGATAATCAATTCACGTCACCTCTCAGTGGTCATAATGTTATGGCTGATCGGTGTAAGAACCAGAACATAATAAACTGGATATTCAATCTTAAAAAAAGTCTCCGGTGACACAACGCTGACATCAACATCAAAGTGATGGAACTTTAGAGACTGGCATTCTGGCATAGTTAATTATTTGAGATCAGACTTTATTAAAAGTTACGAGGACGAAAGTGGCGTGATATCACCACCACTCATAAATTTGTGTCATCAATTATTCAAGAGTCCGAGTCTCAAAAACCGATTCCTCCTCTTAACCCTTGCTGCTCCACAGATAACCACGTCGGAAGCTGCCAGGGCCACGTTTTCTTTTTCCCTCCATTGTGCCCGAGGTGATATATTCCCACAGCTAATCTCCCAACATAAAAACTGCGGTGGAGAAATGATGCCATAAAATGTACCGTATGTAATTATGCTCTTATCACCTAATGAAATATAATGGTTGGTGGTAATGAATCAGATTTAATTAAAAGGATATTAAGGCCCTTGCATCTTACGCCTATTACATGGCCTCTGTTCGATTAAATGGAACGCGTTAAAGATACAGGGTTGTGTGGAACGTGGCTTTGATCACAAAGAAGGGTATTTGTTATATCGTAAAATGTATTCTGCATGAATAAAATTCCTGGCATGTGACAATAGAGAGCAACCGATTCCATTTGCGAAAAGCTCCACCTTTTAATAATTAAAAAGCCAACCCTTAGCTCCAGTCTAGTGACTTTGCCTAGGCTGAGTTGATGTCATCTGTCTGCTGCAGGCAGGAGGAAGCATTTCCTCAGTCTCCTTTCATCCAGGGATCCCTCAGACTCGCTGCCCGGCTTCCTGATACCAGGAGTATCGAGCTAGGCATCGGAGCATTTGAGTGAGTACAAATACTCGCCCAAATACTCAACATCGGCACAAATACTAGTATCGGTATCGGTGCATCCCTACCTGTAATATATCATAAATAAATAATAAGTGGTTCAGAAAAAAAAAATTACTATGTACGTTTTGCAATTATATACCGTTTTACCATATTTGTTCATCCCATACTTAGGATCTGTTTCTTGCTTTGCAGTGGTACACACAGGTAGTGTTTTGCAGCTCCTTCACACAATGCAAGCCTATGCGTTGGCCCACTAACTGAAAACAATGCACTCCCTGTGCGGCAGATATCTCATCTCAGCAGCTATGAAGTAGTTAGGCAGAGTCATTGTAGCAGCTCATCTACGCTGCCTCTAGTGGCCAATCTACAGATCTACAAAATCTCTAAACTGAATACAATGGATGAATATGGCAGCACAAACTTGTAAAAAATGAGTCGTGCCATCTCATGCGCTGGCTGAAAATACTCTATACTGTCTGTTATAAAAATCAGCTCCGTGTCGAAAATAAACGATCCCTTTGCTTTGATATGATAGATCAAAGTATACATTTCAATGGCTCGGCTGCTGAAAGTCTTCTACAGGCCTGAAACCTGTACAAACCATTAAAAGCGCCGGTGACCCCCTGGAACATTCTTTTTTCGTTCCGGACCCGTAGCTCCGGTAACAAGAGATCTTCCCGACGAGCGGGATTGTGTGCCGCGGCATCAGAGGAGCGCAGCGGTTTTCATGAATCACGCTTGATCTGCCCGTGCATCTCAAAGTCTCCGCCTAATTAAGTCATTTGCTTTCATTATCTACCTCTGGCTCCGACAATCTGACATTACAGAGGAGCCGGGAGTGCGAATTCTAAAAGGGAAAGAGGGACGCGTGGCAATTAAAAGTAGCAAGAAAAGCGATCTCACGTCTTCGTAGATGTCAAAGAAGGTCGCCACCGCCGCGTCTTTTATTTGATTTAGGTCGGAGAGCTCCCAGTGGACTTCGAACACACGCGAGCATGTGGTGTTCTTGCAGGGGACGTTCTCCAAGAGGAAGGCTTGCTGGTTGCTGAGAAGAGAGAAAACAAAAGATTAGAAAATGAGGTCCATTACGGCAAGGGTTAATGTGTTACTGTGAGGAACAATGATATAGAAAAGCATTTAACGGCCAAACAAAAGCCTTGCACCTTTTAATCTCTAGCGCTGTACCTCTGCAGGATTTGGAACTGTTTTTTGCTTGCCAATGCTCTCTTAACTCTTACAGAAAATGATGCTTCTTGGTCTCCCATTGCAGTGGTCTGTGCTGGCAGAGTTCAGTAATAGCCACGCCCCTCACACAGGCTTATTAGAGCAGGGATGTCCAAACTCCGGCCCTCCAGCTATTTTGAAACTTCAAATCCCATGAAGCATCTCTCTCCGGGGAGCCATGTCTGTGAGAATCTTGCAAAGCCACCACAGCTGGAGGGCCGGAGTTTTGACATCCCAGTATTAGAGGGAAGGGCAGAGGGCGTGTCTAGCCAGGTGTGCTACCTTACTGAGAGCACTGGGTCTTCTCTAGTGCCTATTATAATGCATTTAGATGCACAAATTGCTGCAAGTGCAAAAAGGAGGGAAGACTACTAAAATGGAGATTTTTATGTCTATATGACTATATGATACCGATTCCTGTGATCTGAGATTTCACATTGGACTCTAAACCAGGGGAGGGGGGAATCTCTGGTCCTCTAGCTGCTATGGAACTACAAGTCCCATGAGGCACTGAAAGAGTGACTGACTCCCAAAGTCAAATGCATATTGGGATTTGTAGTTTAAAGCACAGCTGAAGGGCTGGCGTTATAGGGATTGCTCTTAAGTAGGCCTCATGTGTTAAAGTCATGCGTTGGAGGACTGCAATTATTCTGACTAGGTTGCTCTCACACTTGGGTTGGCTTGCTTGGTAGTCTCGGAAGCAACCAAGGGACCAAAGCATAAATAAAAGCATCACACCATAATATTTAGAGTTTTATCTGTAAAAAAATAAGTCAAGGCAACTGGACTTGCTGTATTTTTCTTGAAGACGTTTCACGGGTCATCCGACCAGCTTTCTCAATTCAGAGTGACTTGTACAAAAATTCTCTGGGAATTCTGAATTGAGAAAGCTGGTTGGACGACCAGTGAAACGTCTTCAAGAAAAATACAAAGTGAATGGATATGCTGCATTCTCAGTGATGTCACTGGTCTCAAGTGAATGGATAGGCTGCAATCTCAGTGATGTCATCGGTCTCTAGTGCATGGATGGGTTGTATGTTTAGTGATGTCATCAGTCTCAAGTGAACTGATAGGCTGCATTCTAAGTGATGTAATCAGACTCTAGTCAATGGATATGCTGCATTCTCAGTGATGTCACCGATCTCTAGTGATTGGATAGGCTGCATTCTCAGTGATGTCACCGGTCTCTAGTGAATGGATAGGCTGCATTCTCAGTGATGTCACCGGTCTCTAGTGAATGGATAGGCTGCATTCTCAGTGATGTCACCGGTCTCAAGTGAATAGATAGGCTGCATTCTCAGTGATGTCACCGGTCTCTAGTGAATGGATAGGCTGCATTCTCAGTGATGTCACTGGCCTCAAGTGAATAGATAGGCTGCCTTCTCAGGGATGTCACCGGTCTCTAGTGAATGGATAGGCTGCATTCTCAGTGATGTCACTGGTCTCAAGTGAATAGATAGGCTGCATACTAAACCAGCAAATGGCGACAAGCTTGATAATAAAATGGCAGTTACCCCAGTAAAATGTCAAACTACAAGCCACAATATTTTAACCTACACAGGTGCTCTTCTTCAATTCAATAACAAAGGCTAAAAGAATAGGACAGCTAAAGGAGACGCACAGAGCATACACATCTGTGTATGATTACATGCACAGCAACATTGCAGTCATGTGCACAGGTCCACTTTAGCAGCACTTGTTGCTTGCCGTTGCTGGGCACAGGACAATTATGGACAATCCAGGAAAATGAATTAAATTAGCAGAACGAGAGATAACTATCCGCATTTACAAAACACGGTGCGATGACCCTGAACATGCCGAGGCTCAGCCGTATCCCATCACCAGCCAGATTTGATAAGGACTGATCGATAATAGAGCAATCATTGCCAAATAACCATTATTACAGAAGGCAGAAATACTTTAGTTATGCTGAATAGCACTCTGCTTCTCATTCTCCGATGGAATGCAGAATGACAGGCTTATACCCATCAGTAATATCATTGAGTAGCCTATAAACAAGACTTTTTCAAAAATAAAAAGGCTGGTGTCTTGCCGCTTCCAAGATCTACAGTGAAATATCAATACAAGTCCTCAGGGATTGTGAGAATCCAAGAAACTGGCAGGGGAACCTAGAGAGGGCCTGAATTGTGGAAGCTGTGCCCCCCAAAAAAAAGGCAAGCAGAAGACAAAGGACTAGTTGTCAGTATTGCCCGTGGTTTTCCTGCAGTTGATCTTTTCCCCAATACTGGCTTATAATGCCTAGCTCTGCACTGTGTATCTGTTTGGAAGCGGCCATCTTGGTAGACACAGGGCTTGGCTTTCCCACGTTAGAGCGGACCCCTGATATCTAGTGATCTGATGGCTGATGAGGGAATGTTTAAAGAAGCAGCAGGAGAGGTAAAGGAAGCCAAGATCTACAGAATGGATAAAGCAGAAGCAGGGAGATCCTTGCACTGCAGGTCCTCAGGTGCAGCTTCCTCTCCAGCAAGGAGAACAGTGAGCAGCACAGTACTAATCTGGTGAGACTAGCAGTCAGAGTCAGCAGTGCCTTAGGTGATCTCGCACAGCACATGTAGAGCTATGAGGCTACAGAATAGGAGTGACTATGTACAGTTCACTGCTATTGTTCAGAAGACATTCCAGACAAAATGTAGATTTATCAGAGTACTGCTATGGCAGAATTAACATTTCTAGTTCTCCCCTATAAGAGAGCAGTTCAGGTCCAGTTAAACTAGAGGCATAAATGAAACATTAGCAGTTGTCATTGGGGACATCACTCAAAGTTAAATTGGTACATACACACTTGTACAAAAAGACAGAAAGTCTCCCTGTGAGGCCTCACAACCACAATTAGTGTGTTAAGGGGGCAATGCACAGGCACCTGGGTGGTTTACCCCCAGACCCGTACGGAGCTACAGACCATCTATTATGGGGCTGGAGGAAGTAAACAATGAATTATGTGAAACGTGGACGCATTCTCTGCCCCCCTCCCCTTCCCATTAACTTGAATCATGGGTGCTTCTCTGTAATGTACTTAGGCTTAAGGGCAAATCTTAATAATGGGCACGCGCATATTGGATTCTGTGCACGCAATTGTCAGCTCGCTAGGCATGTTGTTGCGCACGCATGTTCACTGACGTCTGATCCACTATGAAGTCAGTGCGAGTCCTGAATCCATTGCTGACTGGTCTCAGCTGTATCCTGACCCTGCTGCTTGGCTTCCTGTGTTCTGACCTGGCTTCATCCCTGACTCTGCTTCTGATTACCGACTTGGCACTTCTACCCGGCTACAGGCTTCCTTGTGTTCGATCCTGGCTTGTGACCCCGACTACTCTGCGTTTCTTGATTTGGCACCTTATCCTTGCAAGTGTTCCGCTGTGAATGATCCTGGCCTGTGACCTCGACTACTTTCCTGATTCACCTGTGGCTTCCACTGGGCTTTCCTGTTTGGACTCTGTGCTGTTACTCTTCAAGTCCGCTCCAGCCCATTACTCCACGTTGCTTCCCAGCCTGTGGCCTAGTCTCTGCCATTACCTCACTGAGGTCAACGCACTCAAATTCAGAAACTAGGGATGCACCGATACCACTTTTTTAAGACCAAGTACGAGTACCGATACTTTTGATCAAGTACTCGCAGATACCAATTACCGATACTTTTTCTTGAAGGGACAGGTCACATTTCTAAAGCAATACAAACTAATGCTTTAAGGTCACTTTCTTAAAATTATGATTCATGAGATGACGAGGGAGCATGACGCCGGCTTCCCGGCCAATCAGAATGCCAGGTGCTGCGTCATTACACGGCGCACGGCTTCCGGATTTGCTAGCTTCCTGGAGCCGGAGCCGTTTCCTGGCCAATCAGGAAACCGGGCAGCGTGTAATGATGCGCTGCCCGGCTTCCTGATACAGGAAGTACTCGTGCTAGGTATCGGAGCATTTGGGCGAGTACGAGTACTCACCCAAATACTGGGTATCGGCACCGATACCGATACTAGTATCGGTATCGGTGCATCCCTATCAGAAACCATGTTTACCATCGCAGTGGCACTCATGCGTCCCTGAGTCCTCACTCCTCCTGTTATCATCTCCAGGGAAGTTGGACTAGTGGTGCAAGGGTAGCCCTCTGGTCAGCTCAGTCTCCACCCAGGTACGTGACATTCTCCCTGCAGACATCCGTTAATATTTGAATTTAGACATTGGTGAATGGGAAGAGCACAAATCCCATTCGCTGCAGCGGCAGAGTGTCAGGAAACCAGGGGTGTCACCTCCCCACTGGGTCAGCGGGCACGGCGCAGGGTGCGGGTCTCCCTCCAGCCTGGCAGAACCACTGGCGCCCGGGTTGCAGGTGCGCATGCGCGGGTCGTGCGGCAGGTGCGCATGCGCAGTACGCAGGCTGCGCGCGCATCCCCAGGACCACAGATTAACCCTTTTGTACCTCTGCCTTCGGACGCTTCAGGCCATTTCCTGCCAGTGAGTTCCACTTCGTTCTTCTGCCAAACCATTGGCACTCCTGACACAGAGGGACTCGCAGATCAGTGTGGTGACGTCACCTTTCATGTATCGCCCTACATATGGATGTAACATGAACCATGGCCCCAAAGGTGGACTATGCCTTTAAATAAAGCTTCAACGATAAAGGAGAAGCCTAGAAAATCGAATAAATAATACAAAAGGCCTGAAAAATTCTATAAATAGCTCAGGATGCCTTGAATCTTCTGCAAATGATAAGGAAAGCCGAGACGGACCTATAAATAGCAGGCAGAGTTAACAATGATCTACATTCAGCTTGGCATGGATGAAGCAGGCATAGAAGATCTATTC